AAATTTGTCAATTAGCAGGATACCTATTATTGGAATTATGTATGTTTTACTTTCTTTGCTATATTATATTTTTATAATGACTACACATGGCTTTTATCATCAGAGGAAATAAAACTATTTTTCATTTAAGGGAAGAAAAGAAACTAAAAATACTAGTAAAATATGAGTTATTAACAAAACTTTACAGGTTTTTCTCATCCAAAGGCAGAGTTACAAAACTCTAAACTTACGAGAAAACACTATTTGAGAAAATGGTGATGGTTCTTAAATACGTCATTTTAAATTCGAACGGATGCTCTTAATGCTCTTATTTATGCAGCCATCACTTCTTTCACTTACGTGAGTCACAGAGAAAGGCTCATGTGGTTAATCTTACATGATCACTCAGCTTTTAACCACATGGTATAAATATCACAAACAGAACACCCATAAATGCAAAAGAACTCTGCAAGTAATACCAATTATATAAGTCTAGAGGCCCGGTGCACAGAATTTGTGCATGGGGCGGGGGTGTTCCTGCACCCTCTCCGATCTGGGACCCCCTCGGGGGATGTCCGACTGTGGGTTTAGGCCCCATCCCTGTGAACCCTGTGGGATGGGGCCTAAACCAGTAGTCAAGACATCCCTCTCACAATCCAGGACTGCTGGCTTCTAACTGCTCGCCTGCCTGCCTGCCTGCCTGCCTGCCTGATTGCCCCTAACTGCTTCTGCCTGCCAGCCCAATCGCCCCCAACTGCCCTCCACTGCTGGCCTGATCTCGCCAACTGCCCTCACCTCCAGGCCTGGTCACCCCCAACTGCCCACCCCTGCTGGCCTGGTCGCACCTGAATACCCTGCCCTGCAGGCCTGGTTGCCCCTAACTGCCCTCCCCTGCAGGCCATCTTGTGATGATGTGGGGGTGGCCATCTCATGGCAGCCATTATGTGATGATGTGGCGGTGGCCATCTTTTGACGACGTGGGGATGGCCATCTAGTGACAACATCACACGACACCACCTAGCCTTTTATTATATAGGATTTTTGTAGCACTATCTCATAAAACACATCTACCTGAATACCTCTAAGAGGGCAGCCTTTAATTCTTGGTATCTTGGTTCACATCATTTTCTAAAGTGCTGATATTTCCTCATTGTCATGAAGGAAAGCAAAGTCTTCTAAGTTAATCCATGTAAGAAAACATGTTATTCTTTAAAGACTGCCCATGTCTACTGGTGCATTCACTGGTAAAATGTGCGGCTCTAACAGCAATGATGCCATGATGGAACAGCAACGTGGCCCCAGCAGGCACCAGAGCCCCGCACGGTCCAGTCCCAGTCAGCTGTGATCCACAGCCCCTGGAGAAGGTGAGCTTCAGGATTCAACTCTTTGAAGAGTTCAGAAAAGTACTACGGTACACATACGTGCCATATTTTACTTAAACCCCCCAGGACGTCTGGATCAGCACCCCATATTCAAATTCATTACTGTTTCTACAGCAAAATTTTGAATCTGAACACTAAGTGGGGGGAAAAAAACTATTGAAAGACTGACATCCATTCAGATCAGGTTTTGCCACTAAGCTAAATTTAAAAAAACTTTTTGTTTCAGAACTTTCTGTGATCCCAGTATTACACATGTGGAGTTATAACCTTTACGAGCAGTGATGTTACTATCTATATCACCCCTTAGAGTTTGGCCGTATGTACAGCTTCTTCTCCCCCTACATTGAGGAAAATATGCATTCAAACTGTTTAGAACACCCATGTTCATTCCATTAAAATCTGAGGAACAGTTTAATGATTTTAGACAATCAAGCTAAATGCTCAGGAACAATAAACATTAAAGTCAATGTTCATTTTTGTGGGGAAATATGGGGAAGCAACCAGGAAGGGACACACAAGGGCTTCAACTATGCTGGTAATGTTTTACTTTTAAGTTGGGTGATGGGTACCTAGAGATTTGGTACATTAGTTAAGACATTCAGAAGGATATAAAGAATATTTCACAATAACCCTTTTCTTTTCTTTATTTTTTTCTTTTTTAAAAATATATTTTATTGATTTTTTTACAGAGAGGAAGGGAGAGAGATAGTTAGAAACATCGATGAGAGAGAAACATCGATCAGCTGCCTCCTGCACACCCCCTACTGGAGATGTGCCCGCAACCAAGGTACATGCCCTTGACCGGAATCGAACCTGGGACCTTTCAGTCCGCAGGCCAACGCTCTATCCACTAAGCCAAACCGGTTATGGCACCCTTTTCTTAAATCAACCAAAATTACTTATTTAGTGAACATTTTAATAGATGCGAGAACTTTGGACTTAACGGGGACTTGCTGCGGCTCACACTGGCATTCCTGCATCTTCGCAGCCTCCTAGCACATCCCTTCCAAAGGTCTTCCCTCAACAGCAGCAGCAACTAAGAAACCAGGTTCCCTGGCTTCAAATAACACTTTCAATCTGAACGTACGATCTGCACTTAGTTAGCCTGCATGGCTTCTATGTTCACTCACCAGTAGCTTTAGGCAGGCAAGCCCCAGACAGACTGACAACTAGCTCTCAGCCAAACAGCTGAGGTCTATCCATTCACTCTATTTTCTGCTGTAGTAAAAACTAATTCCATTCTTACTACCTCAAGATGATCAGGGAATGTAATTAGGGAAAGAATTCAGAGAGATCATAATTCAGCAGAAAAGTGTCATAGGTTTTTTAAGGAAAAAGTTCATCAACATTGTTTGCTCCTAAGTAAATCCCAATTTTGTTCCCTTAAGAAATCTTGAAAGCATTTTATATTTTTTCAAGGGCAGAGGTCTTTCCAGCATCTTATAATTGTTCTCAAAGAGTTTACACAATGTAGCATTTCCTTAAACTTTCTAGAAATAAATTACATGGCATTATACCTTGTAAAGAGGTGAACAAAGTTATCTCTGCTTTAGAAAGAGGAAATGAAACTTTCTTGTACTCAAGTAAGTGACCTCGCATCCCAAATTAAAACACAGATAGAAGTGGGACTACAGTGCAGGTCATTTACCTTTCCTTGGTAAACTCAAATATGTCTTACTATAATAAACCACATTCCAACAGGTTTAGCATTCTCTACTCAGACAGGAATGAAATAAAACAAACTATTCATTGATGTTTCTTTCATTTAAAAAAAGTTAAGATCCTCCCTGGCTGGTTTCGCTCAGTGGATAGAGTGTCGGCCTGCAGATTGAGGGGTCCTAAGTTCGATTCTGGTCAAGGGCATGTACCTTGGTTGTGGGCACATCCCCAGTAGGGGGTGTGCAGGAGGCAGCTGATCGATGTTTCTCATTGATGTTTCTAACTCTCTATCCTTCTCCCTTCCTCTTTGTAAAAAATCAATAAAATATATATATTTTTAAAAAAGTTAAGAATCTAAGTGAGTGGTTCATTAGCACTTTCATCACACAGCATTCTAGGAATACATTTTCTATAAAACCATTATTACAAAGTAATCCCCAAATCTCTCCTCCCCATTTCATTCATTTCAATATTCCTAGATACCCTAAAATGAAGCCAAATTTCCTACATTATTTGAGGAAGAGAAAGTGATGCCATTCCTGTTTAGCCTAATCTATAATAATAAAAGCATAATATGCTAATTAGACCGGACAGCCTAACAACCTTCCGGATGTCATTCCAGACATCTTTCTGGACTAAGATACAGTGGTGGGGGCCAAGGCAGAGGCGGTTACGGGCGATCAGGCAGGCAGACAAGCAGTTAAGGGTGATGAGGCAGGCAGGCAAGTGGTTACGGGCGATCAGGCAGGCAGAGGTGGTTAGGGGTGATCAGGAAGGCAGGCAGAGGTGGTTAGGGATGATCAGACAGGCAGGCAAGCAGTTAGGGGTGATCAGGCAGGTAGGCAGAGTGGTTGGGGAAATCAGGCAGGCAGGTGAGTGGTTAGGGGCGATCAGGCAGGCAGGCAGGCGAGTCGTTAGGGGTGATCAGGCAGGCAGGTGAGTGGTTAAGGTTGATCAAGCAGGCAGGCAGAGTGGTTGGGGCAATCAGGCGAGTGGTTAGGGGCAATCAGGCAGGCAGGCGAGTGGTTAGGAGCCAGCGGTCCCAGATTGCAAGAGGGTGCAGGCCAGACTGAGGGACCCTCCTCACTCCCCACCCCCCCCCCGCGCCCCGGGTGTATGAATTTCGTGCACCGGGCCTCTAGTTGACATATAATTGGGTTTTAACAAGAGATTACATTCAATCCCCATCAAGAGTAAAGAGACAAAAGTGCCTACTGTACACCAAAAACTAAACAATCTGATCCAACAAAAAAAACTCACTCTCACCAGGAACATCCTATATAATAAACCCTAATATGCAAATCGACCAAATCGCAGAACAACCAGTGGCTATGATGCACACTGACCACCAGGAGGCAGACGCTCAATGCAGGAGCTGCCCACCTGGTGGTCAGTGCACTCTCACAAGCCGGGCTCAGCCAGAAGCCGGGTTCATGGCTGGCGAGCACAGAGGCAGTGGCGGAAGCCTCTCTCGCCTCCTGCAGATGGGCGATAAGAAGCGAGGGGTCCCAGACTGCAAGAGCCCCAGACTGTGAGAAGGCACAGGCTGGGCTGAGGGATCACCCTTCCCCGCCGCAGTGCACGATTTTCATGCACCAGGCCTTTAGTTTATCTATAAAACAGAAGAGGTATCAGGCCATAAGCACATGACTTTCACATTAAACACAAAGCTTTCCAAAAGTATAAGGAGATGGGGTTCCACTTTGTGTTTTAAAACCTAATGTCTAGAACTGTGAACCAAGTGCAGAACAAAGAGTTGGAGAGCATCATCTACCTGGACGCACGGAGCATGGGCAGAGCAGCTGTGCAGTGGACAGGCAGGAGCACCTGTCGTGTGTGCGGACAGGAGCTGAGCTTTGTGCTCTAAACAGGTCACCTTCTATAACGTTCACAAACAAACTGCCAGGATGAGCAGAACTGAGACTATAATATCTACGTGGTAAAACGTAGATGCCCAGGTCTTCTGGGAAGACAGCATACCTGTAACCGCTGAAATACTCCTGATCGCAGGCCTCCAAATCCATAGTGGCTCTGCGGGTGCAGAGCACCTTCTGACACCTCTTCATAGGGGGACTGTTCAATTTCCCAATCAAAGTCTTCATCATCATCATCTTCTACTCCCTCCTCAGAAACCTCAGAAGCACCTAAATATGTTAAAAATTAACTTTTTAAAATACTGAATTTCCTAGGTACAACTCAGGGAAGAAAAAAATGGAGGAAAAATGACTGCCTGTGCTAAACCAAAACACAGTAAAAGAATATTCATATACTAGATAACCAAAAAAATTGATCTAACCCACAACCCACCCATGATAGGATGTATAAACAATCTATACTAATAAAAGGGTAATATGCTAATTAGGGTGGATGTCCATCCAGACAAAGCCACAGCAGCTGCGAGGCCTGGGGCTCAGGCAGCCATGAGCCCCGGAGGCTGCGAGGCCTGGGGCTCAGGCATCCGTGAGCCCGGTGGCTTCGAGGCCCGGGGCTCAGGCCTCGCAGCTGCTGAGGCCGGCAGTGGCAGCAGCAGCAGGGTGATAGGAACAGTGCTTCCCCTGATCAGCCTGGTTGCCTCCTGCAGAGGGAGGCCAGACTGCGGCTTAGGTGCGCTCCCCATTAGGAGCGGGCCTAAGCCGTCAGTAGAACACCCCCTGATAGCTCCCAGACTATGAGAGGGGGAGGCCGGGCTGAACGAGCCCCCTCCAGTGCACAAATTTTCTTGCACCGGACCTCTAGTAAATACAATAAAAGCAAACAGACCTCAGCCATTTTTGCGTAAATCTCACAAAAATGTTAAGTGACGGCAGCCAGTCAAAAATGAACACATACTGTGTGAAATTATATTTATATACAGTTCAAAAACAGGCAAAACTGAGGACAGTGGGTACCTTGGAGAGGAGGAGGAAGAAATATCTGGGAGGAGACCCAGGTAGGACTCCAGGGTACTGGAAATGTTCCATTTCTAGTCTTAGGTGGTATTAACTTCATGGAACTCACTGAACTGTACACTTTTAATTTTAGCTCAAGTGACCAATATTTTGCCAAAGACAGAGATGCTATTTCAATTTATTAAAAAATATGACTGACCTACTGGTTCAATGGAGTTCTTTATGTCTTTAAATTATATGTTGCCAAATGAGCTATTTACACATAACCTCCTTATTTTGTCACCTAAAGTATTTTCTCCAATCTCCTATTTGCTCTATCCCTTTTCCCCTGAAAACATACAACATTCCAAATATTCTGCTTTTCTTTCTTTCTTCCTTTTTTTTTTTTTTTTGTTTGTTCCAATTGCAATAAACATACCTATTTCCTCCACAAGTGGTTTTGCAGTCCTAGATTTTCTTGGTGCCAGAAGCGTAGTTAACATGTTCAGCCCCTCAAAATGCTGACCAGGAGTTTCTTTGGGCAACTGAATGGTAAAAATTCCTTAAACATAAATTTGTTTTATGGTTAACAAGATTAAAATATTCAAAGACTTCACAAATATATCTATGTAATATATGTGTTTACATATAATTCTATTTTATAGAGCTCCAAAATTATGGCCTTACATAAATTTAGTGACTAAAAATCAATGAGGAAAGTTCCAACAGGGTTTTTCAGAACCACTAATTCAGCTGTCACCACTACAAGAAATTAATTTGTTAAAGCTACAGAATGCTTTAGTCTTATTGCAATATCACCTTAACTATTGATAATATTAAAAGTCCAAGTCAAAAAGTCCAAAACTCAATAGCCTGAGAAGGTAATAGCAGCTACTTATAAAATTTATTTCTGGACTAGGGAGGCAAAAAATCAGGATACATTATCCTATAGAGCAGTGGTTCTCAACCTTCCTAATGCCGTGACCCTTTAATACAGTTCCTCATGTTGTGGTGACCCCCAATTTCATTGTTACAAATTGAACATAATTAAAGCATAGTGATTAATCACAAAACAATATGTAATTAAATATGTGTTTTCCGATGGTCTTAGGCGACCCCTGTGAAAGGGTCGTTCGACCCCCAAAGGGGTCGCGACCCACAGGTTGAGAACCGCTGCTATAGAAACTAGCAGCAATTTCAAAATTACACAAAAAGCAGTTAGGCTTAATAAAATCCTTTACTATCTCAAGAGCTACATTCCTAAAGTCAGTCTAAGGCAGATATAAATTATACCTATGTACTTCTTTTCTTTCCTTGACTGGGTTTATCAAACTTCATCTATCTAGGCTCAGCTATGAACTCATTACATTATTTACTACTCTTAGATTTTAAAACATTTTACTCTTTCAGTGTACTAAACCTCATCCAAATATATTAAATACAACTTAACCCAAAATATTTCCACATATAGCAACATTCCTAAAGTTCTGTGTCCTTTAAAAATGTAGTACAACTTACATGCAATTAAAAGCAGATTTAAACCTAGGAAGGCAGTTTCATTATACTTCGTTGTCACATTAATTACATTAAACTATTGGATAGAACTTTCTCACTTAACACTGTCATCCCATCTTTCCTCCCTCTCCATGGTCCATGAAGGCCAATAGATAAATGCTCACTGGGTAAATTACATAAGAGCACACAGTGTATTCTTATTCCTATCCAGTAACAAACTACAGGGGCTTATATAAAGAGAAAAAATAGTTTTATGGCTAGCTGAAGTGAACGACTTATCATTCACAAGAAGAAAATTCTGTCAGCCTTTATTTATTTTTATTATTAGTTAAGGTATTACAAATGTGTCCTCATCCCCCCCATTAACCCCCAACCTCCCCCCTCTGTCAGCCTTTAAATGCCACCTATGAACAGCTTCTTTCTCATCTACATATAATTAAATTTTAAGTTTGAAATTGTACAAGAAAGATTTGATTCACAGCTAAAATCATCTATGTTGTCTATTGTCTCACACAAGCAGAGTGTTAAGTTTATGGTGAAGAATACTGTGAAATACTTTCAAAGACTAAAAAAATTTTCATTTTTAAGAAATCCATAAATAATAGCACTGGACACTGAAAAACTTTAGTGATAGGGACAGACTGCACTTGCAATACACCTAAAAGGTTCTCACAGTATCTATACTAATAAAAGAGTAATATGCTAATTAGACTGGGATACCTTCCAACGTCTTTCTAGACAAAGCCATAATGGCAGGGCTGAGTCAGAGGCGGTTAAGGGTGATCAGGCCGACGGGGGAGGGCAGTTGGGGGCGAGCAGGGCGGCAGGGGGGCACAGTTGGGGGTGAGCAGGGCGGCAGGGGGGGCAGTTAGGGGCGATCAGACCGGCGGGGGGGGGGCAGTTGAAGGCGATCAGGCCAGCCGGGTGCTGGCAGTTAGGGGGGATCTGGCCAGAAAGGGGGGAAGCTGGGGGTGATCAGGCCAGCAGTCAGAGTGGTTAGGGATGATCAGGCAGACAGGCAAGTGGTTAGGAGCCAGCGGTCCCGGATTGCAAGAGGGATGTCCAACTGCCGGTTTAGGCCCGATCCCCGAGGGGTCCCAGATTGGAGAGGGTGAAGGCCGGGCTGAGGGCAACCCCCCCGCAGCACGAATTTCGTGCACCAGGCCACTAGTCTATGATAATAAAAGCATAATATGCAAATCGACCGAATGGCCAAACAGAGGAACCACCATGCAGACGACCTTTCAGATGACCTTCCCAACGAAGCCAGGGCTGCGAGGGCCTACTCTTGCACGAATTTCATGCATCAGGCCTCTAGTCTTGAAGATTTTTACATAGTTACTTTAACATGAAGAATCCAAAAAACAAAACTAACAAAATTTCCAAAGTAAATACCTTTATCTGCATCATAGGACCCTTTTTCACTTCCATTTTCTACAATTCTCCCAGGAAGAGTTAATCTGCAAATTTAATATAACATCTCATGAAGTCCTTAAATTACAAAGTATAAATGACCAGTATACGTTGAAAACTACCAACCATTTAAAAAGGAAATCCCTCAACATTTCTTTAACATTTTACAAGGTAAATAACGGACTTCTTTCCTAGCTAAGATAAAAAAAAACAAATTAGAGATGACTCCTCTCTGTCTGAATACCCACTACTCATCAATAAAATAGATACTTATGCCGAAACCGGTTTGGCTCAGTGGATAGAGCGTCGGCCTGCAGACTAAAGGGTCCCAGGTTCGATTCCGGTCAAGGGCATGTACCTGGGTTGCGGGCACATCCCCAGTGGGGGATGTGCAGGAGGCAGCTGATCGATGTTTCTCTCTCATCGATGTTTCTGACTATCTCTCTCCCTTCCTCTCTGTGAAAAATCAATAAAATATATTTAAAAAAAATAAAAAATAAATAAAATAAAATAGATACTTAGAGAGGAAAGCCACAATAAATATAGTTATAACCATTGTTACAGTACTTCTACCTCCCTAATGAATGAGTTATTTATATACCTGGTGCCTCACACAGCATGGGTCCAATAAAAGTAGACTAATTGGCTACCAAAAAAGAGGGGTAAGAGGAAACAATAAAGAAACAACAAAACCAATTATTTGTATTGGGCAAATTACTACTTAAAAAAAACAACACACAAAAATGTTTTTCTCAAATCTTATAATCAACATATGGGGATTTTCTCTTCTTTCATACTAAAGGAAATGAACTGATTCCTGTTTCCAGTTTTACTCTAGTTCAGTCAGTCTTCCATTGAGGCCCTAAAATAATTTTTCTAAAGTACAAGTCTGGACTACAGGGAATTCAAACATGATGGCCAGCAGGACAGCAGGGAAGGAGAGAGTGTGACAGAGTAAAGGAGTAAGGGGGTGTGTGTGGACATGTGTGGTATGTGTGTGGGTGAGAGAGGGACAGATAGCTATCTCAGGAATCCCGGGGACAGGCAGATTGGGCTCTCCTAGACGGGCTACCGACACACACACTCCCAGGCCAGCACAGCTTTGGCACCAAACCCACGCCATCTTGTAGAGGGGAGCAACAGAGGCCAAGAGTGCAGCCATGTCAACATCCACAGCAACCTCAGATACCACCCCTGGACCTGTGCAGGGAGCCACTTGCCAGACGTAACCTGTGTGGAACCACCACCACCAAGTGCCCAGGCAGTGAGCAGCCAAGGTACCATACCAGGGGTGGGCAAACTTTTTGACTCGAGGGCCACAATGGGTTCTTAAACTGGACTGGAGGGCCGGAACAAAAGCATGGATGGAGTATTTGTGTGAACTAATATAAATTCAAAGTAAACATCATTACATAAAAGGGTACGGTCTTTTTTTTTTTTTTTTTTTTAGTTTTATTCATTTCAAACGGGCCGAATCCAGCCCGTGGGCCGTAGTTTTTGCCCACGGCTGTACCATACCATGGGTCCCAGACATTTGCAGTGAGTGCATAGCAGAGAGACCTCCTGAGGGGCGCCTCCTCGCCAGAGCCCAAACCCATGTTTCAGGTCCCCACGCTCTAAGTGCAAGCCAGGGGTATCCCACACCCTGCTCCATCCCTGGCCCCAGTATAGAGCTGTCTCCCTGGCACACATCCTACCCCCGGCCCAGGTCAGAGCTGCTGGTGCAAACTGGTGTGCCCAGCCACAGGTCACAGGACCACACTGCAACTGTGCTGACAAAGAGACCTAGGGCACCATCCTGCCTTGGTGCTGGGGCCACAGAGTGAATTGCATGCCAGAGGGCTCTGGGCCCTCTCACAGAGTCCCACACCAGAGGAACTGTGCACTCGCGCCCGCCAACCTCGAGAATCTGAAGAGGACAACTGAGGTACAAGACTGTGGGAGAAGGAGATACAACTCAGAGCAGAGACAATAAAGGTGTGAAACTCAAGACAGACCCAGCCCCCAGGCTAGCTAGTCCCACTAGGGGAAGCATGTCAAACTTGTGGCTCATGGGCCACATGTGGCCCACAATGAATATTTTTGTGGCCCAGCCAATATAACGGTATGTAAGAAACATTTTAATAAAAATTCCATATCTTAATTCTTACAATGTCCTGTTATACCTAATTATTAATAATGAACTACAACATTTGCTAATGACTAATTACTATAATCATGTTGCATTCATTTCCCTTACAGGCAGGCACACCATTTCTCTCCACTAATATTAGCAGTGAATATTTTAGCAGCTGACCGCCATGTAATTAGTCTTGGACTGACTTGTTTGGTGTACGCAACAGGAAATATTTTGCTTTCGGAGAACAAGAAAAATAGGTTTATTTACATTACTCTTATTAATTTGTGCAGTTATTTGGTGTCTGCTAAGTTAATGTTCAAGAAAAAAATATTAATTTTTATTAAAATGTTCTATTATTTCATGTTAACGATGACTCATTTATTTCAGCTCTTTGTATTCAGCATGTCTCTATCAAAATAAACCTATGTTTCTATGAAAATTGAAGCTTTTGTGTTTTTTGCGGCCCAAACAAACTTAAACCTTATTTGGTCCATGTTAGCCTTTGAGTTTGACGTGCTTGTGCTAGGGATTTCAACCCCTCAGACCCTAAACAGGGAGCCCACGACCAAAAAGAGACAGCAAAAATGGGGAGACAAAGAAAAAAACCCCAAAAGACAGGATAGTAAGAATCGTCAGAAAAGAAATTAAATGAAATGGAGGTAAACAATATGTCAGAGAAAGAATTTAGCGTAATGGCCATAAAGTTTCTAAACTGGCTGGATGAGAAAATCAACAACATATGGAAGAATCAAGTCAAAATGAAGATATCTATACTAAGATAAGAGTAATATGCAAATTGATCAGGATACCCTCATGCAACAACCGAACAGCAGGCTGCGTGGGGCGACCAGGCCAGCAGGAGGGGAAGGGAGGGGCGACCAAGCTGGCAGGATGGGGCAATTAGGGGTGACCAGGCCAGCAGGGGAGGGGCAGTTAGGGGTGATCAGGCTGGCAGGGGGGCAGTTAGAGGCGACCAGGTTGGAAGGCGGGGCAGTTACAGGTGATCAGGCTGACAGGCAGAGGCAGTTAGGGGTGATCAGGTTAGCGGAGGGGGGCAGTTAAGGGCAATCAGGCAGGCAGGCAGAGACCGTTAGGGGTGATCAGGCAGACAGGCAGGTGAGCGGTTAGGAGCCAGCACTCCCGGATTGTGAGAGGGATGTCTGACTGCCGGTTTAGGCCCGATGCTGGGGATTGAGCCTAAACTGGCAGTCAGACATCCCCCCAGGGGTCCCAGATTGGAGAGGGTGCAGGCTGGGCTGAGGGGACCCCCTACCTCGTGCACGAATTTCATGCACTGGGCCTCTAGTAGCTACAGTAAAGAACACAATGGAAGGTTTCAACAGTAGACTAGAAGAAACTGTGGACCAAATCAGCAAGTTAGAAGACAGGGTAAGAAATAACATGCAATCTGAACACCAACTGGAAAAAGAAATTCTAAAGCAAGATGATAGCTTAAGGGAGCTTTGGGACAACATGAAAAGAAGCAACATTCATAAAATAGGGTTTCCAGAAGGACAAGAAGAGGAGCAAGGATTATAAAGACTATTTGAAGAAATAATGACAGAAAACTTCCCTGATTTGGGGAAGAAAAGTCACACAAGCACAAGAGTCCCAAACAAGATGAACCCAAAAAAGACCCAAAACACTATGCATCGTAATTACAATGGCAACCATTAGCGACAAAGAGAGAATCTTAAGGGGTGCAAGGAAAAGACAGAAAGTTACCTACAAGGGATCTTCCATTAGATTATCAAATGATTTCACAACAGAAACACATCAGGACAGAAAGGAACACACACACACACATATAAGGAAACATGATCCATATATATGCTGTCTACAAGAGACCCACCTCAGAAGAAGGGAGTCATGCAGATTGAAAGTGAAGGGATAGAAAATAATTTTCAGGCAACGGAAATGAAAAAAAATAAAACTAGTGTGGCAATACTTATATCTAACTAAATAGACATCGAAGTGAAGGCCATAACAAGAGATAAGGAAGGCCACATCATAATACTAAAAAGATCAATACAACAAGAAGATACAAGTCTGGTAAACATATATGCACCCAATACAGGAGCATCCAAATACATAAAAAACCTTCTGAAGATATCAAGGGTGAGATCAACAGCAATGCAATTCATAGTAGGGGACTTTAATACCCCATTGACATCACTGGATAAATCTTCTAGACAAAAAAATAAACAAAGAAACAGCAATCCTAAACAACTCACTAGATCAGATGGAACTAATTGACATCTTCAGAACATTTCACTCCAAAACTACAGAATATACATTCTTCTCAAGTGCACAGAGGACAGTTTCAAAGATATACTACATTTTGGAACATAGGCAGAGTTTCTTCAAATTCAAGAAGACTGAAATCATATCAAGCATCTTCTCAGAACACAATGGCATAAAATTAGAAATCAACTACAGTAAAAATAATATTTTTAAAAATGAAACACTTGGAGGCTAAAAAGCATGCTATTAAACAATGATGGGGTTACCAATGAGATCAAATAAGAAATAAAAAGCATCCTGGAAACAAATGACAATGAAAACACGACAATCCAAAATCTATGAGATACAGTGAAAGCAGTCTTGAGAGAGAAGTTCATAGCGCTACAGGCCTATTTCAAAAAACAGGGAAAAATGGTAATAAATTACCTAACTCTACAACTTAAATAATTAGAAAGAGAGCCAAACGAACAGCCTAGAATGAGCAGAAGGAAGGAAATAATAAAGATCAAACCAGAAATAAATGACATAAAGACCAAAAAAAACAATAAAAAGAATCAATGAAATCAAGAGCTTGTTCTTTGAAAGGATAAACAAGATTGATGAACATCTAGCCAGGCTCACCAAGAAGCAAAGAGAAAGGATCCAAATAAACAAAATCAGAAATGAAGGAGGTGAAGTAACTAT